TTCCGAAGTACGATCCAAAGTGATTTCGAAGGATTTTATTTATTTTTGAGGATTTCCTTATTAGTTCCTTCCTCCCCCATACATCACATACGCTCGCTTACGTGGAAAACGGTGGCATTGGGGTGCGAATTGCGTTACTTTTAATCAACAATTAAGAGATTAATTATAAACAGTACAATTTATCAAAATAAGCGTCAATTTTTGTGTATAATGTTATACATGAGGTCCCTGGTAATTATTAAACTTGTTCTTAACTTAATATAGTTAAATTGGTAATAAAATACATTGTACAGTACTAGTACACATCTATAAGTGTATTATATTAGTGCAAATGCTAATTTTGTTTTTTATTATGTCAGAATGTATTTTGTTTGTTTACTTTCAGTAAATTTATAATTTTTAAAACAATCTTTTGTTTTCGATTTTTCAATAGGCTCGCGCCCTCCTTGTAGAGTTATCACGCCCCCTTAGGGGGCCACATCCACTTTTTGAGAAACGCTGCGGTAAAGGATTTCTGAACAAGAACAAAATTAGCGTGCACAAATGTTTGCAACCCCGCATGCGCATTTCACATAAATGTAAAGGTAAGTATTCGTCAAATTTAGCCTAATAGAATCTTGAAGTATTTCGATGCTTCACCATCTACAGTAGGGCATTGTGACAAATTCTATTAATCAAAATCTCAATCTGTAACTTTAAATCAATTATTCTAAAAGAGTTTGATTACCGAAGCCCCCACAATCAATTATCTCTATTGTCCACTCTCAGTCAATTAGCAATCACTACGGTCACTGAGTGAATGACCTGAACGGAACGAGTTAACCCAATGGTGAATCGATTCCAAGTGATGGAACGGATTGCCTTCTGAAGTGGACCGTTCACTGCTCGCCCGAGCGCACAAAGGTCAAAAGCTTTGCTTTTTCGTCCCATTGTGTCGTCGCTCGTCGTGTTCAGTGGCGCAGACGATTATGGAAGGGCCCACTGACCCGCAAAGGTCCATTTCCCAGGTCGTTTGGTCAGACGATCGATCTGGGAATGAAAAAAGGATACTAGATACAGTTGAGCCTTGAAAAATCCGACGAACGCTACAAGCAACATTGTATATAGGGGAGAAAAAACGTGTTTCCTTCTTTTTTTTCCATTTCTGTTTGTGCAAATGGTAATCTTTGTGGATCATTCTACACATGCTTATGCATATTTGTAAAATGATACGTTTTAACTCTAATAGAATGAATACAAAAGCTATTGAACGAGAAATGAGACTGCATTCAGAAATGCTATTTTATAAATTTTGAAAAATATATTTAATTCATGTACGGTTCATAAAGAAATGATAATATGAGATGTGTTTTAAAAATAAATACATTTTGTAATAAAAAGGACAATGTATTTCCCAATTTTATTTTTACATGAAAGCCAGGACCTGAATATCTAGATGTCCTTTAGCAACGGCACGCCTTTGTCCCACCCTCTGCGCTAAGAGTCTGCACAGTTCTTTGCAGCGCTAAAATTGAAACAAAACACAAATTCCCTTAAAATTTGCTTATTTTACTTTGAAAAATAATAATCAATTGCATTTAATAACGATTCTCACTTATGAGTGAGTGAGTGAATATACAAGTCGCACTGTTCAGCTAAATCATAAGAAGCATGATACAAGAATGATGAACTTTCAACCCCGGACCCCCCCTTGAAAAATTCCTGTGTGCGCTACTGGTGGTAGACCAAGGCCTATACATAATCGACGGTCATAACATGTAGCCTGTAGGCATATCGTCCGAAATTCCCAGTTTTCCCGAGAATACAACTGGAAATAACATTTGACCATTGAAATTATTCGAATCATGACCTTATTAAGGATGAGTCGAGAACGACCCAAGGCGCCTCTTATGGCTGAAGCCTTGGGCCCGGGCCCAGTTGATCCATGCCTTAAGGTATCCGACTACGTTCGGAACCATGATTTTAAAAAAGCGCATAACTGGATAATTTTCATGATATCTAGTATCACTCAGATTAGAATACATGCATAAAATTGTTTTAAGGACACATTTTGACAAAAAAAAATTTTTAAATACAATATTTTGGCAAAAAATTAACTTAGAATAATCTTTTTTTAAAATGTTCCTCCTTTTGTGAAAAATGCTCCTATTATAATAATATTTTGCATGTATATAGCTCAGACCTCTCTAAAGGGGCTTAACTAGAATTTTTGAAAAATTCACATTACTTTCAGAGTTACCACCCATTGAAATAATTATTGGCGTTTTTTTCTTAAAATTGCTCCCCTCTGTTGTCGTAAAATATGCATAAACCCACTTCTAAGTTATATATTTCAAAAATTCTAGTTGAGCCTCTTTAGAGAGGTCTCAGATATATACAGGCAAAATATTATTAAATAGAAGCATTTTTCACAAAAAGACATTTTGAAAAAAGATTATTCTAAGTTAAATTTTTGCCAAAATATTGCATTTAAATAACTTTTTTTGTCAAAATGTCCTTAAAAACAATTTTATACATGTATTCTTATGTAAGTGACACTAAATATCATGAAAATTATCCATTTATGCGCTTTTGCAAAATCACGGTTCCGAACGTAGTCGGATACCTTAAGAAGTCCCTGCTCCAAATGCTCACATTCGTTTGTGCACTCCCCTTGTCTGACTCATCGTCCTCCTGATGGCTACTATTACCAAGATTTTAACCAACTAAACGGGGTTTGCAACTCCATGTTCTACGTTGATTTATCGTTCCCAAGCTACCAACTATATCCTCTCTGAATTTGTCCGTCGATTTCGGCAACACCCTGTATATATGTGTAAATGTAGGCGTGTGTGTAGACGTAAAATAAATGATTTAATTAAATTCTCTTAGTTTCACGTTAATCGTCATTTTTCTCAATACGTTACAGAAGTTTTAATTCAACCAAGTCTTAAAAATGGAAACTTTAGTATAAGTAACACAAATTTTAATAAATTTGCTTAAACGTCAGTTTTCAACATCAAAACAATCTCCTCTTCAGTTCGAAGTGGAGTGCAACATTGTATCAAAATAAAACAGAAGAGTTCTTTAGGAAGACATCAAGTTCCGCTAAAAAGGACACATTTCTTTATTTTGGATTTCAGCCCACATAGGGAATAGAAGATAGAAGATGAAGAAAAAATGGGGGGTTTTTTTGGCTCAGCTGACCGTGAATGAAGACATAGATATGTGCTTGAACAAAGCACGATGAAATAAAAGAAATAATTCGAGAAGCGAAATTGAAAAAAGAAAAGAAAAGAAGTAGAACAATAGGCCGAAAACTCTTCATAAAAGAAGAGATCGTCACACATATGGGATTTAAATAGATTTAAAAGAAAAGAGATTCCACGGCATGTCATGTTCCTACACTCTATAAAACATCTTGCCGATTTTAGGGGGACTATTTCATAACAATAAATGCTTTTACGACAAATTCGGATTATTTTTCAATTCCTAGTATTAGCTCACACTCTCCCTATATATATTTATTTACCTTCGTGGAATTTTCAATCGTTCATAAAACACCTTTTATAGCGCTCCATTGAGCTTAAATTTTATGTACATGATTTTCGATGACAATACAGTAATTTAATTATAATTAATAAAAATTAATTGATTAAAACTAATTATTCAAAGCTATTAATATTATTATTATAATTAAATAAAATGAATTGACTGAAACTAATTATTTAAATAATTACAGATACAGCCACGTTGGTTTCATTTTTAGTGACTTGGGTCAAAACTAAAAGATTTTTTTTCTCACGTTTTAAAGCATTCAGTTGAACTGAAATTTTATAGACACGATTGTTTCGGATGACAATTCGATACTTTAATGATAATTAATAAAAATTAATTGCGACTTAATATTGTGATTCTATCCAATGTATAAACATATTTATATTAATTGTAATTATTTTATAAGAAGTAACTAAAATACAATTTTTCTTTGTTGACCTAAGTAGGAATTGACTTTATTTTTTTTTTTTTTATGTATTCCTTGTTCTATGCTCAACTTTTTTTTATTTTTAAAGTTATCATTTTTATAACCAGAGTATAACGCGGACCCATTAGTTTTAATTTTACTTTTTGTAATAAAAGTGCTCGTTACACACCAGATTTTACGGTATTTGTTAATGATGTTTTTAACTAGGCAGTTAATTACTAACTCGGTCATACTACATAAATAAGAAATTTGATTCATTTCATTTGCGGTATTACAATAGAACAGTTGAAATTTTTACAAGATCTACATTTTAGAACAACATTTGGTAACCAATAAAATATTTGAATACGTCAAAGGCAGTGCCGGTTTATCCATCGGGTGCTGGAGCGCACTCAGAGGTCGGGATAAGCTAAACTTCAATATCTTCTGGTTATAAATTTCGTTCCACCATTCTCAAGGGGGCCTGTAGATTTTCTGCACTCAGGACCTGAAATAAACTTAAAGGGACACTGAGCCGAAGTGCTAGTGCTCAAAGCATAGGTGGGAAAATAGCTTTTCATTGACAATTAAGAATTAATGAAATTGGTGGGAAGCTTACTTCTCCCACGGCCTTATAAAGGATTGAAGAACAATGCGTAGTCTGCTGTGTCAAATATTCATTTTTCTTTTAACCTTTTGTGGCAAAATATACGAGGTGGCAAGCTTGTGCTCGGCGATACTTCAATCGAGCCTCTGAGGTACATTTCGAAGCATTTTCAAGACAATTAAACTTATTCAATTCCTACTTTTAGTTCACTCTCTCCCTATATATATATATATATATATCTTGTTCAAATTTTCAATCGTCACTAAAATACTTTCTATTTATCCATTTGAAGTTCAAATACATTTTTTTAAACTTGTAGTGGATGACACTTGATGCTAATACAGTTTTTTCAAGCAATAATTCATTCATTAAATTAAAAAAAAGAATAAATAGTAACAAACAAAAATAATTGTCCAAGAGCATATATAGAAAGGAAAAATCGCTTGTAGTGTCCCTGTAGCACAATAGATAGTGCGTTGGACTTCTCGTCCAAAGGTGGTGGGTTTGAATCTCACCCGAGATTGTCTAATTTCTGAAAATATGATTTCTTTTTTACTATACTATTTTATTAGAATAATTAAATTTAATTGGTAAATATAAATATAGTAACAAAAAAAACCAGTCCAACACCCTTTGTAGAAAGTAAATTGGAAAATTCAAGGAAAATGACTTTCTATTTTCTCTTAATATTGGGATTCTGTCGTATGTATATACATATTTATATTAATTGTAACTATTTAATAAAAAGTAACTAAAATAAAAATTTTCTTTGTTGACCTAAGTAGGAATTAACTTAATTTTTTTTATGTTACTTGTTTATATACAGTGCATTTTCATATAAATTTATTCCATAGGTTCTCAAAGTGGGCGTTTGAAGCTTTCATGGGGCAATAAAAGTCCCAGAAAAAATCAGGGGGTGTTGAGATGGCACGGAGGGTCTTCGGCAGAATAACCAAATAAAATCTAAAAAATGGTCTAAAAATACACGCTGATTATATACTAACAAAGGTAAACTTTAATACTGGTTACCTTATATTGATTGCATGTGTTTAAATCATTTCTATCACGTGCACGAAAATTCAGTTGGGGAAGTGGATGAAAAACTTAAGGATTACTTTACATTTAGACCTACATTAAATTGAATGATATAGTAAATTTTAATTTCGTAGTGTACATGTTGTCTTTGTGAGCAGTTGGAAAAATGTTTCATCCACACTGCATTTCATTACGTATATTATCTAAGAAATATAATTAAATACGTTAACCACACACACAGGAATTAATGTGTGATTCTTTAAAGGCGGAAAATCTCAATTTTTTTTATTTTGAAAGAGCTAAATTATTATTATAATTACTTCGTATCATCAAAACCTTCTTTCAAAGGCATCTTTATAACAGGTAAACAAAAATTTTATTCCACTCTTTTAAATAAAGAAGAAATTCAATAGCGTTTCAATCCCAACAATATCCTATCTAAAACCAAAATATATAATACTACTCAGTTAAATATATTAATGGCTATTTCAGATTCGCAAATAAAAGATAAAATTGAAGTAAAAAAATTAAATTAGAAAAATATGTTCTATTAGAGTAATAGAATGTTTAAAATTATAATTCTTGTTTTCACCATGTATTATGTACGCTCTTGAGTGTGAGGGGGCGGTATCGAAATATACAATAAAAAAAGGGGGGCGCCAGTTCAAAAACGGATGGGAACCTATGATTTATACAAAAGGCAAGACACAAGATGGCAAGACAATAATTACTAGACAAAATACATATTCAATCTCTGCCTCTGAAAAAAACTAACCCATTCCAAAAAATATCACAGCACAAATGATGATTCACCTATATATAAACAGAAGAAAGGGGATAAAAATTAGGAACTGCTCCTTATAGAAAGTCACAAAGACATAAAAACAAAGCAAAAGAAAAGGAAGAAAAGAAAGAAAGACGAAAGTAAAAATTATAATGTCAAAAAAAAATTTTTTTTTTCTGCTTTTCATTTTTAAAAGAAGTTTTCTGACGTCAAGTGCATAAGTGCATGACATTCCGACGTCGTCTGCTGAGAACAAAGAACTCGTTAAGAGTCAAGAGCTTTATCAAGCTTACAAATAATGAAGCTTTATACGTTTCATTTATACGAAGTGCAGGTGAAGAGTAAGGTGCCGACTCACATGTCATTCTCGTCATTGGACCACAGTTCAAAATTAAATAGCAAACCCTTAAGGTTGACCGAAATAAGGGCACATAAATAAACAATTGCCACCCCTGACTTACGGAGACATCCCTCAATGAAAAAATGCAAATATACATTCCTCTTGCACTACTCTAGTGGCCGCGGTAGCCTAGTGGTCAAGGAAATGGACTCAAGGCCGAGTTCGAGCGTTGTACTGCTGAAGACCCGCCGTGCAGACAGGGCTGATGCACGTTAAATATGTCGAGGCTCAAACGTTCTCCCCTTGGTGTGGCGTGGAAGTTAGGAGAGAGGGAAGCAAGCTCAGGTGTCGTCCTCGTCACTTGACCATGGTTCAAAATGACGAATTCCGTAGCCAAACGCCCTCAAGTAGCTGAATAGCGCGACATTTTCACTCACCTTGCACTATGTAAATGTTAAGATGAGTATTTTTATTTTTTATTGAGAACATTTATAACCCTGTTCACCACAAAGTATCACACGGGGGCTTACATAGCATTAAGCACACATCACAAAGAAGAGAAGGATTACAACACAAACACATCGATATCTTACCCGGGATTCAAACCCAGACCCTACGACATCGCAGTCAGCGTCACTAACCACTATACCGGATGGGTGGCTAGGATGAGTATTAATGGAGATAGTTCGTGATACTCAGGATGAAATATATCCGAGGATATATTACAATCCTTTCAAACGCAAACTAAGCTTCCTTACACTAGAGAACATGATCCGATTCATTAACAAAACGATATCTTTCTTTTATCAATAAGACATTAATTTTATATTATTTTTAAGTTACATTTATAGTGATACTAGCTGAAGTACTCGTTCTTCGCGCGGGTTAAGGTATTCGAACACGTTCAGAATACTTTTTAACAAAATAACATATTTAAACATTATGTATGGTTTTTTAGGACTCAAAATACCAATAAATACAAGTATTTAATTAACAATATTTAAATAAATTACCTAAATTTTACTAAAAATACAATTATAATTGAAATTTTAGCAATATTTTTGAAAAACTTTAAAATAATTAGAGTAAAAACTAATAAACTTACGTTAGTAAAAGTATTATATTAAAAGAAATTAGATATTAGATACATTTATCTAGAAAATGTGTGTGTACTAAAAATTTTAATATTTTATTACAATTTCAAAATTTTAGAGCTGATCGAGTAAACATTATAAGAAATGTGACATTTTTTATAAGACCATTTTCAAATAACGAGCCATAACACGCGCGCGCGAAAAGTATTTATTCAGTGAGAAATATGTTAGTCTCATTCTCTAGAAAAAAGCATAAATATCAGGTTGAAAAAGTTTTAGAGAAATACATTTTGAGTTATCAGACTCGCCATGATAGATAAATGCCCACTTCTGGTAGATTAAAGACCCACTTCCGGTTTTTCTGCCTTTATAAAATGGATTGCAACTTGGTCTCTAAGTAGCGTAAAAACTAAACAAAGTATGTTTTGTAAAGCCTATAAGATAGTTCTATATTCGATAAAAAATAAAAAACATAAATATCTGTCTTGATCGAATTTAGTCATTTTCAAAGTGTTCACACGCGCCCGCGCGGATACCTTAATTTTTTCAAAATAAATTATATTTTTTCTGATATAATAGTTGAATTGTAAGGACAGTAAAACCCGGTAAAAGCAATGTATAGAAAAATGTAAAATAATTTTTTAATGAACTCACTTATATATTTTTTAGAATGCC